TGTTGGCGTTAAGAGACATATTTTCAAGATGTAAGGATGCTAGAAACTTAAAAAAAGAATCTTTTTTTTTTTTTGGAGAGATTTTCGCTATAGGACGCGTGCGCTCGCCAGACAGACAGAGAGAGACAGAGAGATAGAAAGTGAGAAATCACTCCCCAGGGGGGATGGCCACGCTGCAATCCCTTCTCCTCCATTCTCCTCTCGGGATCTTGGGCACGCACACGCACACACACGCACCTGGTGTGAGTTTTAAGCCACCGGGTCTGGGACGTGAACCGCGGTCGACTACGTGGGAGTCCAGCAACATAGCCATTATGCTTTCTCTTGGTTCCCGAGAATCTATTTTTTTTTTAACAGTACGATGAGTTGGCCCCATAGCCTAGTAGTTAAGGAAGCTAGATTCCACATGGTTTTAGCAGATTGAAAAACATGCCAGGTATATTTGCTTGTGTCCAAAATATTAACAGGATGAAGAGATAGGAAAAAAAGGACTGAGGTGTGACCATGTCCAGCTGGGAGTGCTTTCTCCCTCCCTCTCTATCTCTCTGTCTCTCTCTGGAGAGTACACACACATCCTTTATCGATTAATAAAGTAAAAGATTAAAAATAGTGGTTCAAATTCCATAGCCTTGATGAGCAAAATTATTTTCAAGATTGAGCACGTATTATATGTATTTGGTTATTAAAGCCTAAAATGATGTTTCATTTTAACTATCACAATACCCAACTAAACTATTTATTTGTTTTGCTGTATCTATATTACTTGGGGTTTGCTAGTCTGGGAAGTCTAACAATTTCAGGATGAAAATGTTCAGAAGCATTTTCCATGTAATTATTATATTTTGCTGAATCAAGTGTTTATCTAGTTTTATAACACTAGTCAGCATTTTCTCCAGCATTTTCAGTCTCCTACATAACGATGAGCCCAGATTACACAGTGGGTGTTGGTTTCTTCCCATAATAGGTTACACATAAGCATACTCAACCTTTTCTCAAAACAGAATAAGCCCTGCACTTATCAACTTTAGCATTATCTAAATAGCTAAATAGTCCAAGAAAAAAATGCCATTAGTGGTTGCTTGCTGTTTTAAATTTCCAGCATCTAAGGAACTGAGTCAGGAGTTCAATTAAACACTACTATCAAATATGCATTTGTTGTGTTCCTATTTTATCAGGATAGGAGATGATGAGACCCTGATATAAAGGGCACATTGTCTTTTCTTTTTTCCCCCCAAAGGGTTTATAGTCATAGTTGAGTACAGAGGAAAAAAAAAATCAGTAAGTTCAATTATCTATGGTGAGTTCCATGATGATGTTTTATGGACACTCCTATCAAAAGTCCATATTCCGCTGTATTCTTAAACAACATCATGGTCAGTGTCAAGCTCATGAGTCCAGTATATACTGGCTGCTTGTATATGCATGGCATGTCCTCTCTTTGATACAGTTCAAAACAGAACTGTTGATTCTTTTCTCTCTCCAACTTGATGTGTTTGTGCTATACTCTTCTTCATTTTAGTTGCTTAAGCAAAAACAAACAGGGACCAGCACATGATATAGCAGTTACATTGCTGAACTCCCACATGGCCAACCACAGTTTGAGTCCCATATCCAGGGGCTTTAAAATCACACTGGGTGCACATGCATGCTTGCTCAAGATCCTGGGAAAAGAATGGAGAAGGAGTTGCCATGTGGTCATTTCCCCTAAGGGGTGGTTTCTTCTTGCTTTCCCTCTCACTGTGTTCATCTCTCTCACTGTGTCTGTCTCTCTTTCTCTGTGACAAGCACACACACCCTAACACAAAACCTCTAAAAAAAAAAAAATCAAAACCCTCAAACCTAGAAACCAAACCAAAACAAAACAAAACAGACATTGTTCTTGATTCTTCTGTTTCCATTTTCTTCCACAGCCATTACACAAGCTCTGGCTCCAAAATACATCTCAATTCAATACCCTCTTTCCATTGCCACTAGTCTAAGCCATTTCTACTCCCACCCCCTATAAATCACCACCATCTCTCTATTATATTAATGCAACAACCTCTAGAAGGCTTGCTGCAGGAAGATTTTTAATATAGACAGTGAAATATATATATATATATAGATATATTTTTCTATTTTTCTATGCAAAAATGTATCAAGACTTTCCTGAGAACCCAATAAATACATTTTTTGTTTAAATGACATTGGTTGCAAGTATGGTCTTGCATTAATGTTCCTTTTCTTATTTGGCTTCTAGGAGTCTCTAAGGGAGGATAAATTATGTGAAATATAAGAAACAAAGCATCTTCATGAGAATATTTGTTAAAGTGAAACTTTATTCTCTAATTTTTGCCATTCTGGTGATTTTTAAAGAAAATATTACTGACCGATTGTGATTTACCTAAGAGCTATATAGGAGCTATTGACAGACTGTGGCATATATCTAAGTAGAAAATGACATTCTACAGACTGCTTTTAAAGAGAGAGATGAGCTTCTAAGGTAGTTGTAATAAGGTTTTTTCCAAATAAGCTTCTGAAAGGGAGTTAGCTGTGTCTTCTACATTTAATACATTTTTAAAAAATTTTTAGAGAATTTTTTACCTTAGGGCATGTGTGCTCACCAGAAAGAGACAGAGAAAGAGGGAAAATGAGAAATCACCCCACTCCCTCCAAGACACACACACAGAGGGGATGTCCATGTTGTAATCCCTTCTCCTTCATTTTCTTGGGATTTTGGGCACACATGCCTGGCATGTTTTTCAATCTGCCTGGTCCAGGATTTGAATCACAAAGTCTACCATGTGAGAGCCAGTGCCTTAACCACCATGCCACCTGCTGGTCCCACATTTAACATTTTAATATTTTTAAATACAATCCTCAGATCATATTATTCATCCATTTAAAAAATCTTATAACTGCAGTTATAATTATACCTAAGTTCTTACTAGACTTCAGATCTTACAGTTGCTGTCACTTCACTACACTTCACTGACCTCATCTCCTATGACTGACCTACCTACTCCATTTCTGCCACTTTGTTTCTCCCTCAGTTCCATGAACTGCCATTTTCACACCTATCCATGAATATTTATTTGCATTTGCTGTTCTTCCTAGCCAGAATGCCCGCATCCCCTGCAACCTTTCCATCATTGCCTCATTCGCCTCATTTAGAGCTCACCTTAAATTAATGACCTTCAAAGAGAATTTCTCCAGGTACTCTTTGTAAGAAAGCAGGCCTGACAGTACATTTCTTCTGCATTGGTAAATTTTTAAAATTTATAACACATTGGGCCAGCAGGTGGCTTAGTGGTTAAGGCACTGGACTCCCACATGGCCAAACACAGTTCAAGTCCTGGACTTGTTACCTTGAAATTCACACTGGGTGCATGTGAGTGTATGCTCCAAATCTCAAAAGGTGAATAAGAGAAGGTATTGGGGCATAGCCAATCCCTCTGTGGGAGGGAGGGGAGTGATATCTCATTTCCTGTCTCTCTATCTCCTGCTGTCTCTCTGGTGAATGTAACTGTCCTATAGCAAAAATCTCTCTAAAAAAGTTCTAATACATTAATTTCCAAAAATGATTCTATTTTATGTTTTATTTTTATTTTGTGATAAACATTTTAATCTAAAATAATTTAAATTTACAAAATAGTTGCAAAGATAATACAAAGCTTTCCATGATAGCCCTTACCCACCTTAAGCAAAAGTTAATATACTACAGATCCATGATAAATCTGTCAATATCAAGAAGTTGACTTTAGGACTGTACTGTGAAATCCAGTTCATGTTTTAATATTGTCTGAGGCATTCTGCTAACCTGTCAGTGCTCTTATGAGAGGTGACCTCATTTGTCTTGCTCATCACTGTAACCCCAAGGTTTAAAATAACTCCTGGCCTGGAATTAATTTTTTTTTTTAGAGGTTTTTGCTATAGGGCGCATGCGCTTGCCAGACAGAAAGAGAGAGACAGAGAGACAGAAAGTAAGAAATCACCCCCCAGGGGGGATGGCCACACTGCAATCCCTTCTCCTCCATTCTCCTCTCAGGATTTTGGGCATGCACACACATGCGCCTGGCGTGAGTTTAAGCCACCGGGTCTGGGATGCGAACCGCGGTCGACTACAAAGGAGTCCAGCGACATAGCCATTATGCTAACTGCTGGTCCTGCCTGGAATTAATTTTCAACCAATACTCTCAAATGAAATAATACTAAATACATACTCTCATAACTTTTACTCACTATCCTTCATCCCTCTGTTAAAGGAGAATGTCAAAGAATGTTTAACACAATTGTTGTGTTCATTGGGACAATGGTGAAAAGTCTGATGTGATACTTTTATATAAACAAATACCATTCAAGACTTTAAGATCTTGGCAAGGAATCCTAAATGAATTTGGCCAATTTCAGCCATGAATTGAGTTTCAGTGTGACAATAACTAGACCAGGTCTGTTACTGAGATTTGCATAAACTCTGAATAAGCTATCCAGAAAATGGCACAAACATATCGACACAGTTCCATTATTAGTAGTTCAGACATATTATTCATGTTTTCTTACCTTCTGCACAATAGCCCATACACTACAAAGGAGCCAAGCGACATAGCCATTATGCTAACTGCTGGTCCTGCCTGGAATTAATTTTCAACCAATACTCTCAAATGAAATAATACTAAATACATACTCTCATAACTTTTACTCACTATCCTTCATCCCTCTGTTAAAGGAGAATGTCAAAGAATGTTTAACACAATTGTTGTGTTCATTGGGACAATGGTGAAAAGTCTGATGTGATACTTTTATATAAACAAATACCATTCAAGACTTTAAGATCTTGGCAAGGAATCCTAAATGAATTTGGCCAATTTCAGCCATGAATTGAGTTTCAGTGTGACAATAACTAGACCAGGTCTGTTACTGAGATTTGCATAAACTCTGAATAAGCTATCCAGAAAATGGCACAAACATATCGACACAGTTCCATTATTAGTAGTTCAGACATATTATTCATGTTTTCTTACCTTCTGCACAATAGCCCATACATCCCTGAGTGGGTTGCAGTAAGTACACAAAAAATTTTCCACAATTTCTTACAGATACTGGGATTTGAAAGAGACAGCAGTCTTTTGCAGTGCTGAACAAAAACTGCCACGTAGCACAAGCTGTCAGTTGCTTAATCTCTCCAGGAGGAGGCAGTGTTTCCGAATCTCTCAGAGACAGCCAGATGGGGGCCTGAGTTCCACAGTGATTCATCTTTTGCATCAAAGAAAATAAAAGTGGAAAATCTAACTTATCTTCATGCATGGCAGAAAAATCAATGTTGCATTTTCTTCTAACAACCTTTAAAATATGAAATTGCCAGTCATTTTTTTAAATCTTGTTTCTGTACTTTATAAGAAAAGGTCATTTTAAAGAATACTAAACCTAAGGATAGACACCTCATAATTAACACAATCTTATTCAGTATAAATACCTTTATCCCATTTGCTACATGTGTAATGTAAACAGAAATTCAAAGTCAGATAATGTACTAAAATAGGTGATATATTCTTAGTCCAGCTGAAGTAATCTTAACAAATAGGACAAAGAAACTGATTCTGTAAATTTCTTGAAGAATTGCTGTAGAGTATATATAAGAAATTAATGCATAGCTCATGAGGCAACACAAATTAGGGAATAAAGAGGTATTCAAAATCTGGTGCTGGACTAATGGTTGAGAAAGGTAGAAAAAAATAAAGTTAAAGCCAATTATCAATTTAATTTTCAAATAAAACTAAATTAAACAGAAAACTGCTCTAGGAAAAGTAAGAAGAAACTATATATGATTTGGGAAAAACTGAAGTATTTTCTAAATCCATGACCATTTCTAGACACTCAACATCTTCTGTGTTATGTTGGGTGGATAATAATGTTATCACCTAAAAATGCTAGGGGGAGATACAAATGAAATAATGTATATAATGCAACTTCTACACACCATTGGTTCCACAATCATTAGACTATTTACATTGTAGTATTCCCATGTTTGAAAGTAAAGGAAAATTTATAAAGGAAGGATTGATAGAGATATAAATAATAATTTTAAAGATATTTTAAAAATGAGTTAAATAAGGAGAAAGTTATTTGTAGATAGTATTATATTTAGTACACTATTTATTTATTGTTGTATTACTATGTTTCTTATTTTATTTTAACTAAGATTATTCACTTAAAAAATCTAATGCCACAAATGAGCAAAATATCAATATACAAACACATAATTCACAAAAGAACATATATGTCTAATGAAGACATGAGAATAGTCCATATTGGGAAAAATATTTTTATTTACTGCTATTGGCTTTTTTTTTAAATAAAAAAAACTATCTATATCAAAAGTCTTAAAAAGATATTAACCATCACTAATTTTACTTATAAAAATCCATCTTACTAAATAGAAACAGTAAAATTATGATAACGATTATGTGCACATTTGCTAAATGCAGAATTATTTATAATAGCAAAATCTGAAAGTGTGCACAATGGCAATGGTTTAAATAAATATGATATATACTTATGGCATAATATTATTTTGTGAGTGATATGAATGTATAACATAAGATATTATAATAACATACAGCTAATGGTATATTTATCATGAATAAAAAGGGACGTTATACGATTGGACATATAACATGAGTCTTACAAAACAACTTAAATAAGAAACCATACCAAAATGTTAATGATAGTTATGATTGTGTGGCTGGATTTTGAATAAATGTTCCAATCTTGTCCCTTATTTTCTAAGGTTTTCTATAACACTCATGTATTACTTTATACATCACAAACTGAAAATTTACTTAAACAGACTTATGCTATCTTATAGAGAAAAAGAAAATTCTATCAATTCTCCAGTTGAATACTCTAAAACAGTGGTTCCAATCTTTTTGGCACAAGGCATCGGTTTTGTGGAAGACAATTTTTCCAAGGGGGAGGAGCGGGGAAGGGAAGGAAGGATGGTTTCAGCATGATTCAGGAGCATTACATTTATTGTGCACTTTATTTTTATTATTATTACAATGCAATATGTAATGAAATATTTATAAATACCCATAAGAGAGTATTTGCAGCTGCTCTCCTGCACTAGCATCATGGCCTTGGATCCTTAGGCATTAGATTCTCATAAAGAGCACACAACCTAGGTCCCTAGCACACACACTTCACAACAGGATTTGGCTCCTATGAGAGTCTAATGCTACCACGGATCTGACGGGGGATGGCAGGAAACACTTCTTCATAGGGCATAGCTCATCTCAAATAAAAGAGCCAGAGAAACCATTTCACTTTCATGTTTATGTGAGATTCTAAAATTGATTATAGCTAACTTTGTCAAAAGGAAAAAACACAAATATTTAAAGATGCAGTGAGTATCCTTGAAGCTTGCTTTTAAATTCTGATTTTTTTTGTTTCTTGCAAACAAAATGTTACAAATATGACAAGCAAATAATAATAGAAAAAAAGAAGACAGCCACAATGCCATAAATTAATGTTAACATTGTTAAAATTTGAATGCTTTCCTAATGTCTTTTACATTAGTGCTTAAAAAGAAAACTAATTCCTTCTTCTGCAACACTCACAAAATATATAGCAATAAAGGGACCAGCAGTTAGTGTAATGGCTATGTCGCTGGACTCCCACGTAGTCGACCGCGGTTCACATCCCGGACCTGGTGGCTTAAACTCACGCTGGGCGCATGTGCGTGAATGCCCAAGATCCCGAGAGGAGAATGGAGAAGGGATTGTGGAGTGGCCATCCCCCCTGGGGGGTGATTTCTTGCTTTCTGTCTCTCTGTCTCTCTCTGTCTGTCTGGCGAGTGCATGCGCCCTATAGCAAAAACATCTCAATATATATATATATATTACAAAAAAGAAAATGAGTCTTCTACTAAGATGTCTCACTCCAGGGGCCAGCAGATGGCATAGTGGTTAAATCACTGGACTCCCACGTGGTCGATCATGGTTTGAGTCCCGTACCTGAAGGCTTGAAATTCACACCAAGCATGTGTGCATGCATGCCCAAAATCCCACAAGGAGAATAGTGGAGAAGAGATTACAGTACAGCCATCTCCCTTGAGAGTGATTTCTCACTTTCTCTTTCTCTGTTTCTCTCTGTCTCTCTGGAGAGTGCACATGCCCTATAGCAAAAATCTGTCTTTAAAAAAAGAAAAAAATATATATATATATATGTTTTGGTTTATAAAGAAAATCTATTTCAAGAATAAAATTATAGTCAATATAATGTATAATTCCTTAGATGGTGTGAATAGAAATGTGATAGCAAAAACAGGAGTTGAACTGAAAGGGTAACTGGTCAAAAGTGTCATATGCAGAGATAATGCCTATTTCATGACAGTATCATGAGTTGAATGGGGACTATGAATAAATTAGGGGGAAACTTGCATTTGAAAATCATAAGTTAGAATGATTATTACACTTTTCAATAAAATTCAAGGAGTTACTTGACAAGAAATGTAAGCTAGTTGAGGAATACTCAGAAATCATGCCTTGCATTCATTCTTTTTGTGCTTATTTTTAAATTATTTTGGAAGAGAACACATTTGTCAAAGCTGCTTGAGTGAGAGAAGCCATTCAGGCTAATTTACTAAATAAGACACTGCCATAATGAGAATCCATCATAGAGTACGATCAAGAGAATAGATGTTGTAGAAAGCTAATTGCAGAACTATACATCCAATGAGATTCCATGTATAAAAGATCACAAATAGACAAAAGTAAACACAGTGTTTCTGAAAACTCCATGCTTGTGTGTACACAGCTACACAGTAAAACAAAGTACACTGCTTGCACAAATTGTAGACTTGAAGAGAAAATTTCAATGGAACCAAGGTCACATGACTTCACAGTATTTGAATTTGCTACAAGTGCACTGTACCCACTTTTGGACCAGAAAATACTAGGAAATGTCATTGCCAGGCTAAGTTTCCTTTAGGTGTGGAATAGGAGGGTGGAGCCTGTAGATTTCATATCATTAGTGCCCACAGTTAAGATAGGTGGTGGCAAGCAGCAAGTGACAGAAGTAATGCACTTAAAATAGTATATTCATTATTAAATTACTAAATTCTGTTGTGTACCACATTATTTCACATAACAGTTTAATTATATATGTTCATTAGGATTAAAGTATGTATGATGACATTTCAGGTCACCCTAAGAATTTCAAGTTCATTGTTGATCTATCTTGTATTTTTCGTTTGTATTCTTGATTATATCTTAATTGAATTTTTTTAAAATAACAAAGATTTTCCAAAGGAAAAGAAATAAGAATAGAATAAGTTCAGTCAAAACCTTGCAATCTGAAATTTAAATTAGTCCATCCCCCATCAGAATGACTGTTATTAAAAAATGATAAAATCTTAAAAACCGAAACCAACAAATAATGGTGATAATGTGAAGAAATTAGAAACTTCTCTTTTTAAAATTTTTTGCTAGAGGCATATACTCTAGTGAAAGAGAGAGAGAGAGACAGAGAACAAAAGAGAGAAAGTGAGAAAACATCTCTCCCTGTCATTTGGGAATGATCTTGTCACAATCCCTTCTCCTTCATTTCTCCTTCCTTCCAAGATTGGGCACACAAGCTCATGCTCCCGGAATGATTTTCAAGCCACAGCGTCTGGGACATAAACTGCACCATTATCCTGCCACATTAACCACCATACCACAGCCTGGCCCAGAAACTGGAACCTCCTATGTTATTGGTGGGAATGTAAAATAGGACAGCCAATGTGGAAACAATATGGCGGTTCCTCAAAAAGTTAAATGTTGAATTACCATATGCTCCATTCATTATACTTCTAGGAATATACTCAGAAAAATTTAAATAAGGAACTTGGACAGATATTTGTGTACCCATGTTCACAGCATCATTATTTGCAATAGCAAAATAGTGGAATCAACCTAGATGTCCATCTACAGATAATGGATAAAAAACACATGGTCTATCCATATGATGGAATATTATTTCCTTAAAAGGGAAGAAAAATGACACAAGCATCAACATGGATGAACCTTTAGAAGGTCATACAAATAAAACAATCCAATCATGAAAGCACAAATAATCATAGATACAGTAAGTAGAATGGTGGTTGTCGTGAGCTCGAGTGAACTGAGGGGTGGGTCAGGGACAGGAAGCAAAATAATAATAATAACAATATCTCAGCATAACAAATAAGTTGGTTGTAAGAAGATTCAATCCTTGTATGAAAAAACACATAAGGAAAAGCATATGTGGTGAACTGAAATACCTCAACACATTTGGTGGGCATCTCAGCAGGTTTGTCAAAGATGAGAAATCGATACCATCCTGGGGAAAGGGAATGGTCACATATCAGGTCTTGAACAGCTGACTGTTGGAGGTGCAATGAGTCAAAATGGACATTTCTATAAGGACTCCGAAGAAACTGGTGTCCCCCAGGAGAGCACTCCTGACCTAGGAAAGAAAGATGTATGTCTTTATGTAATGAGTTTTGTTCATTAACATAATTCAGTTCTTAATTAAAACTGATTCTCAAAACAGAAATAAAGCAAATAAATGCACTATTACACATAAATACCATTTGAAATGTCGGTCTTTCAATAAATCTAAGGTAACTTGTACTTCCCATAAACACAATAAACAATAACACTCTTTGAAATAAAATATTTAGAATTTTTGAAGTACTTAAACTTTAAGAACTTTATTTTTGTTCAGTTTGAATAAGCAATAGAGCTAATTTCTCTTGAGTTAGAATCTCAAGGCCCCATCATAAGGATTCTTCTTGTCCCTCATCCTTCAGATTTATTCCATTATTGACCCTGTATGTCCAGCTTTCCCCCAAAGCAGGCACATGCCTTAAAAATACTATCTGTATCAGATCCTGAAATGTGAAAAGTTGTATTAATCTTTTAATTATAATTGTATACAGTGCCCATATACTGAAGATTCCTGCATTCTTTGGTGCAGGAAATAATATAAAGTTTTAAACATTGTTTTTTCTTTCTTTCTTTCTTTGAAGCTTAAGTGTTAGAAGTCATATTTTACTATTAAGCACAGGAAAAAGAATGGGGTAGAAAGAAGCATTTTTAAGGGATGAATAAGAAAAGGCCATGGAAAAAAAGAGTCTTGTAGTTTTTTTCAGGACTCCATTTTCTGGGTAGTATTTGACGTGAAAGATACTTTTTCTGTCATACCCACAGAGGCAGAAGATATGTTCATTCTCTGAACATAAAGAGAGAAGAATAGGCAGCAAAAACTGAGTTATCTTACAAATGCAATTCTTATTTGAGATTGTATTCCCAGATACTCAATTATAAATTCCACAAGAAACTGTACTTATGTGTTATCGATATCAAAATATATTGTTGCTGTAGTAGGTAGAAATTTTCCAAATACTTTATATTAGATTTTTAAAGAAAAATACCATAATAAAGATGGTATTTATGAAACAGAAATGTGAAAGAATTTAGTCATCACTAAAGTACCTCACTATGAAAAAACTTATTCAAAGAATAAAACACTCAGACATTAATTACATAATTTTATTTTCAACATTATTCATTTTCAATTGCTAGAGGATGTGTACATTCTCACGACAGAGAGACAGAAAGAGGAAAAGAGAAAACACCACTCCATGGATGTGGTCACACCACAATCCCTTCTGCTCTATTTCTTCATCCTGTCAAGTTTTGGGGCACACATGAACATCCACACGATGTTTTTTAAGCTATCAGGGCAGAGATTCAGACTACAGTGAGTCATGTGGGATCCATTTCCCTTAATTTCTAGGCTCCAGGGATGGAGAAGGCTTTAGTTTTTATTCTTTTTCATTTTTTTCTTAATTTGTATTCACCCAAGAAAGATAGAGAGGAAAATGAGAATGCACTCTCCATGGGGCCCAGTCATGCCACATTTCTTTCTCCCTCATCTTTCTCGCCTTTCAAGATCTGGGGCATACACACATGTGTGTATATGCATTGTGCTTTTCAAGCTATTGCCTGAGACTCAAACCATGCAGTGGGGCATGTGGGATCCAGCTGCCTTAACCACCAGCTCATGTGCTGGCTAGGTGTCATTTTTTTTTTAACATAATAGATCTCTCTAAAGAATTATTTAGTAAAATATTTCAGGAGTCACCACAAAAAGATATTCTTTGTCTCTTACTCTTCCATAGTTGTACATTTCCATAGAAGAATTTAATTCAAAAAGCCCTAATGACTTTGACAATCACAAGATGTTAACACTAGATAAATATTTTATAAAAGTGTGTATAGTGAGAATTCAGAAGCACTGCTCTCATTTTATCTAATTTTGAAATAACTCCAAGATCTTTAATTATAAGAAAATTGCACCTGGTTAAAAGCTAAAAGAAATATTTTAAAAGAGATAATTAATGAGGTTTGTGTAAATGACTAAAATGTTTTCTGTGATTTCCTCTCTAGAATAGAATTTTATCTTAGTGTTTCAGTTTGTTTTTCTGTCGCTAAACACTGAATTCCATTCTGGGTAATTACAAAGAATAGAAGTTTTTTTAGTTCACTATTCTTGGAGCTCTAAAGTCAAGGGGCTGTGTCCATTGAGCGTCTACATGCTGATGAGGATTCTCTGCAAAATAATGTGACAGTGCAAGGCATCACATGGCAAGAGCTTATGTGCATGTTTGGATCTTTCTAAGCCACCAGCATCCAATAGTGGGGATATCCACCCAGATGATCTTATTTAATCCTAATTAATTTCCCCAAACCCTACCTCTAATACCATAATCCAGTTTAAGTGTCCATTCTCTTAATATCATATAAATGTTTAGAAGTTACATTCAAACTATAGTACTTGGGGGAAAATCAGTAACCCCATCTTTATTTCTATGTAGTATTTCTCCAACCAAAGTGTCCTCTAAGATTTTGCTTCTTTGAATAATTACTTCCTAATCCAAAACTGAAGATGTAAAAAATATTGTAGGAATTCATTTATGACAGCAACAATATTAGATAAATGTATAATATTTAAATAGGAATATTTATTGAATTAATTTATTTTTAATTAATATTTACTTTAGAGGAAAATATTATACAGTTAATAATAGCTCATTTTTTTCTTTTTAGAGGTTTTTCCTATAGGACGCGTGAGCTCGCCAGACAGACAGAGACAGGGAGACAGAAAGTGAGAAATCACCCCCCAGGGTGGATGGCCACACTGCAATCCCTTCTCCTCTTTTCTCCTCCTAGGATCTTGGGCACGCATGCACACGCGCCCAGCGTGAGTTTTAAGCCACTGGGTCCAGGACGCGAACCACGGTCAACTATGTAGGAGTCCAGCAACATAGCCATTACACTAACTGCTGGTCCCAATAATAGCTCATATTTTTATGTTGCTTTATTATTTTTTTCTAAAAATGTTGTCTCTTTCAGAATGGGCAAGGTATGTATAAGAAATTTTAAAATCCTGTTAGCAATGAACAAGCCACATTTAAAACTTCATTCGAACCAAAATTCTAGAGGTAATTAAGAGAGAATTATAATGATGGCTTGAGCTCCCATTTGGGAATTTGAGCACTTACCTCCTCAGGCACTTAAGGTATATAGCTCTATAAGACTCTCACTTAGTCAATTTCACAACATGTGCACTTTTATCAAACCTCCAATATATTTTTCACTTGAAACAAAAGAACTTATAAAATATACAATAAAAATTACATTTCTATTTATTAGGTATTCTTCCTGATATGATTAAGGTGGCTGAATAGAGTATATTAGAAGATGCAGTACTGGAATTTCAAATACTTTGGAAGGATACCTCAGGTTATAAATAATAAATACAAACTGACAGAACATGATAAAACATTTCTGGCTTTGTTTGTAGATATGAAGTAACCTTAAACTATATTAGATTGTTTTCTGTTTAACACGATGGCCAAGACTATAATTTTTTTAAAATTCAAGGTTGGTTCATAAACAAATATGTTAAGAAACTAATAAATTAATAATTTTATTTGTGAGGAATGAAAATGCCTTACACCTGAACACAGGCACTTCATAACTGAATATGTAATTATAAAACCTTCTTTACATTACACTTGAGGGATTTCAAGTATTTGTGAATTATTTTTTTCTTTTTTGGAGAGGTTTTTGCTATAGGGCGCATGCGCTCCCCAGACAGACAGAAAGAGACAGAGAGACAGAAAGCGAGAAATCACCCCCCCAGGGGAGATGGCCACGCCGAAATCCCTTCTCCTCCATTCTCCTCTCGGAATCCTGGGCACACACGCACACACGCCAGGCATGAGTTTAAGCCACTGGGTCCGGGACTCAAACCATGGTCGACTACATGGGAGTCCAGCGACATAGCCATTAAGCTAACTGCTGGTCCCAAGTATTTGTAAATTTTTAAAATCTCACAACCTTCCCCAAAGATGTGGGAAAGAAAAAATCCACTTTTCAACTTTAAATTTAATAAAAAATAAAAAGCTACCAATTTACCTTCTGAAATTCAAAATAGAATTTTGGGCTTTGAGGCAACATGAAAGATTTAAAACCAAGAAAAAAGAGAGTTTGCTAATCCTTTTCCTTTGCCCCCATTTATGCATGTGTGTATATACATAAATGAGGGCAGAGGAAAGGCTATATATATATTTAGAGAGGCTTTTGCTATAGGGTGCGTGCACTCACCTAAGACACAGAGAGACAGAAAATGAGAAATCTCTCCTGAGGGAGGATCACCATGTTGCATTCTCCTCCAGTCTCTTCTCTAGATTTTAGCCACACACGGACATGCACCTGGCATGAGTTTTAAGCCACTAGGTCCAGGACTCGAACTGTGGTCAACTACATGGGAGACCAGTGACATAACCATTATGCCATCTACTTATCCCAAACCCTAATTTATATATTAAGAAGCAAACTAAGTGTCTCCTAAAGAGAATACAAGCAGATTGAAAGTGAAAGAATGGAACATAATATATCATGCAAACAGCAACAATAAGAAAATTGAAGGGCCTAAACTAATATCAGGCAAAGAAGATCTTAAAACAGACAAAAATGTTACTAGAGAGAAAGAAGGTCACTTTATAATGGTGAAATGGTTACTCCATGAAGAAGACATACAATCATAAACCTATATGCACCTTATAACAGAGCACTGATACACATGAAACAAAATCTGACAGAAACTGAGGGGGAAATATACATTTCAATAATTAGAGTGACAACTTCAATATCTCACTTTCAACATGAATAGAAATATAGGCAGAATATCAATAGGAAACTAGAGACTATGAAACATTATAAACCAATTTGACCTAGCAGATCCATAAAACACTAGTCTCAACAACAGCAGAATATAAATTCTTCTAAAGTACACATAGAACATTGTCCAGGATACTATATGCTAAATGATAAAACTATTTTTTTTTAGGTTTTTGCCATAGGACAAGTGTGCTCACCAGAGTGAGGTGGGAG